CTAAATCCGAAAACCCCACCCTAAACCCTAAACCCTAAACGCCCTAAACCCTAAGCTTAAACCCCAAGGACCTCTAAGTTTGAACCCCAAGGACTCCAAAGCTTGAACCCTAAGATCCCTAAACGCAAGGACTCCGAATCCCAATCTTAAACACGCTAAATAACTCACCCTAAACCCTAAACCCTAAACCCTAAACCCTAAACCCTAAACCCTAAACCCTAAACCCTAAACCCTAAACCCTAAACCCTAAACCCTAAGCCCTAAGCCCTAAGCCCTAAACCCTTAGAACCCTAAGCCGAAGCCCCTAAACCCCGAGACACCCCAAACGTCTTACATAAAGCCCAAAAACCCTAAAACCCGAAAACGCTCAAACCCTAAAACCGAAAAAACTAAAACCTTAAACCCTAAAACCCTAAAAACCTAAAACCCTAAAACCCTAAAGCCCTAAAACCCTAAAGCCCTAAAACCCTAAAACCCTAAAACCCTAAAACCCCAAAACCCCAAAACCCTAAAGCCCTAAACCCTAAACCCTAAACCCTAAACCCCTAAACCCTAAACCCTAAGGACTCCTAATCTTGAGCCAAATCCTGGCTGCCAGAGCCAGGTGCCTCAGATTGTCTACGAGGAGCGCATTGTCGAGGCACATGGCTAAACCGCTCACAAGAAGTGGGTCTATAGAATTTTGGTTAGGGTTATAGGGTTTTAGGGTTCAGAGTTTAGGGTTTAGGGTTTAGGGTTTTGGAGGCTTGGTAGCGCATTGGTACCCTTTTGCCAGGTTCCCTTGTAAAGTAACCAGCCCCAAAGAAGGGTGCCCTCATCATGATATGGTTACTGGGCTACCAAGATGTGTATAGGGTTTGGGTCCGGGTTTTGAGCGACAGTTTTGACCGGCAGCCTAGTTTTCAGGGATGTGTTTGCCCTGGCTGCTTGAGGCTTGAGAACAGGACTTTGCGCTTGCTAGGGGGGACGGGGTTTGGAGCTACAAGGAAAGCTTGAGGAAGGGTTTTGAAAAGGGGCCTGGGGTTTATTCCAAGGCTTTCCTTCGCGTAGTCCTTTCAAGGAAGGGCGAACAGAAGGCACATAGCCTTCCTCTCTTTGTCGAAGGGCTGGCAAGGCTCAAAACTTCGAAGCTGATTTGCTCCGATACACCTTCTACCTATTTTGGCTTCAGGGTTTAGGGTTTAGGGTCTAGGGTTTTAAGGTGGCTTACGATGCTGTCTAGGTCTCAAAACACCCGACCCCAAGCTACAAGCCCTGACCCTAAACCCTCAAACCTGGACCCGAAAACCTAAACCCTAAACCATAAGCCCTAAACCCTAAACCCAAGCCCCGACCCCCTCAAGCAGCCGAGGCCTGAATCCCCTTGAGCACAGCACTTCCCTGCCCTAAGTCTCCAATGCTGGAGCCGAACCCCAAGAAGCCCTAAAGGCCCTATGGGGTTTAGGGTTTAGGGTTTGGAGTTGAGGGTTTAGGGATTTAGGGTTTATGGAGTCCAGGGTCTCTAAGAAGCCCTAAAGCCCCTATGGGGTTTAGGGTTTGGAGTTCAGGGTTTAGGGACTTAGGGTTTATGGGGTCGAGGGTCTCTAGGGTTTCGAGGGTAGAAGGCTGAAAGTTGAGGGCAGATCGCGACCCCTCTCCGGGATGCCACTTTTGCCCTGGGTTTGCCGCATGCCAGGGGTTCAGGGTTTAGGGTTTAGGGTCCCCAGCTCTTGTCTCGCTACAACACACTCGAGTCTGTCATGTTTCGTGCGTGGGGGCCGGCGTCTCGTGGCCTCGCCTGGCGTCTATTATTCTATTCTTCCTTGGCTGTCTCGTGCGATGGCCAGCACCAGCCCCTAAACCCTAAACCCTAAACCCTAAACCCTAAAGCCTAAACCCTAAACCCTAAACCCTAAACCCTAAACCCTAAACCCTAAACCCTAAACCCTAAACCCTAAACCCTAAACCCTAAACCCTAAATCCAGAATGGCAATTGGGTCTTCGCCACAGCGGGCGGCTGAGGCGGCCTACCCGCCCTTACTAGCTGCCCACATGGCTCGCTGCCTTCTCCAGCATGGATGCGGTACACACCCTCAAACCCTTAAAACCCTCAAACTCTACAGCCCTGAGACCCTTAAGCGCTTAAGCCCTAAAGCCTTAAAACCCTTCAAACCCTCAAACTCGTCTACCCTTCAGCCCCTAAAAAGTTAAGCTCCCTTAAAATACTTCAACCCTTCAAGCCCGTCCTGAAACCCTGAAACCCTTCAGCCCTTAAGCCCTTTGAGCCCCAATGCGTCGCCAAACCCGGAAGCCTCCTGAAACCCCATGACCACTAGGCCCCCTGCAATTTAGGGTTTAGGGTTTAGGGGTTTAGGGGTTTAGGGGTTTAGGGGTTTAGGGGTTTAGGGGTTTAGGGTTTAAGGTTTAGGGTTTAGGGTTTAGGGTTTAGGGTTTAAGGTTTAGGGTTAAGGGTTTAGGGTTTAGGGTTTAGGGCAGCGGGGCAGGTGCCTCGGATAGAGTACCGCGAGGTGATCAAGCAGGTGCCGACGGGGGCATAAGGGCATATGAGGGGAGCGGAATGTGTGGCTCCAATGGAGCCCACAAATGGGAATGTTAAGCCCTAAGCCCTAAGCCCTAAGCCCTAAGCCCTAAGCCCGAATCCCTAAACCCGAAACCTAAACCCCAACCCGCTTCAGCAGGGTTATTTTATTTGGGCTTCCATGTGGGTCATATAAACTCGAACCCTTAAACTCTAAAATCCAAGCCCTTCAACCTTGAGCCATAAACCCTAAACCCTAAACCCTCATGAGACCCCCCCCGGGTGGGGCTCAGGGTTTCGGGCTTTTGGGCAGCTCTTAAGACCCCCTCACTGAAGCCCCAATCGCCTAATCCAGCCCCACTTCACAGACAGGCCCTTGACCCTAAACCCTAAACCCCTGAACCCTGAACCCCTGAACCCTAAACCCGAAATCCAAACCCTAAACCCTTAAACCCTTGAACGGGCCAGCGTCATGGGATCCGGGGGGGGAACCCGCCGAGAGCCCCAAACCCTCTAGGGTTTCTTCAGTGGGGCCCTTCCCTCAATGGACTAAGGTCGTACCCGTAAGGTTGTACCCCCAAAAGGTCCCCTTAATGTACTCCAAATCTGGCCTTTTTTTGCCTTCAGGATTTTCTAAGGTTGTAATTACCCCTAAAGGTTCCCCTTAACGTACTCCAAATATGGCTCTTTAGAACTACCCTAAGGATCTCTAGAAAAGGTCCCCAAAACCCAAGAGTACAACCTTAAGGGTCCCTAAACCCTAACCCTAAAACCCTAAACCCTAAACCCTAAACCCTAAACCCTAAACCCTAAACCCTAAACCCTAAACCCTAAACCCTAAACCCTAAACCCTAGATTCGTACCTCCTCGCAGGTGCCCAAGCCCGAGATCCAGTACATCGACAAGAAGGCCCCCCAGAAAGAAGTCGCCGAAGCAGTTTTTTTTTTTTTTTTTGTGGGTTTAGGGTTTAGGGTTTGGGGTTTAGGGTTTAGGGTTTGGGGTTTAGGGTTTAGGGCTTTCTCTGGGTTCTGGTACAGGAACTTGGCTTAAGATTAAGTTGCCGCACCCGGTGCTTTCGGACGTTGAGGTTGCGGGATTCTGCGGTTGTAGGACTCCTGGGCCTCTCAAACCCCGAGCCCTGGCCCTGACGCCTAAACCCTAAACCCTAAACCCTAAACCCTAAACCCTAAACCCTAAACCCTAAACCCTAAACCCTAAACCCTAAACCCTAAACCCTAAACCCCAAGCCCTAAACCCTAAACCCTCAGCCCTACACCCTCAGTCTAACGGTACTGTCATGGGCCCTTAATATGGTCCCTTACCTCCTTTGCAGGGTGTTGAAGTATGGGCCCTTAGTATATGTATGGGGTACATAAAGGGGTACAAACGGAGTCCCCTTTTAAGGCCATATTAAGGTACCATGTAATTACCCTGAGACAGCGTAAAGCCCCCTCGAGGTTTCGGGAAAGGCTTCGCCCTGAAACATCCAAGGGTTTGGCCATGGGCTTTGCACAAGGCAAGGGTTTAGGGTTTAGGGTTTGGGGTTTAGGCTTTATAGGGTTTAGGGCATAGGGGCTAGGGCTCAGGGATTAGGGTTTAGCTTTTATGCAATGGGTCATTCGGACTGTCACGAAGCGAGATACGAGGGTTTAGGGTTTCGGGTTTCGGGTTTAGGGTTTAGGGTTTAGGGATCGGACGTGTGCCAGGTTCCGAAGCACGTCATCGAATACGTGGAGAAGATTGTGGAGGTCCGCCCCGGAGACCTATGCCTTAAACCCTAAAACCCTAAAACCCTAAGCCCCTAAATCCCTAGAACCCTAAACCCTAAAGCCCTAAAACCCCAAACCCTAAATCCTAAAACACCCTAAGCCTTCTAGACCCTCAGACCCGACCTTCAAACCCTCAGACCTTAACCAACAAAAGCCTAAAGCACCCTCAAGCCCTGAGAGTCTTCCCGGCACCCCGCCGGACCTACGGCACCCCACCGCACCTACCTGCGTCAAAAGGTAGAAATAGGGGAGCTACGTCTACCTATGTCCCTGTTAGGGGCCCTGTATAAGTGACACCTGTGAGGGAACCCTTATTGCCCCCGCATATAGTTCTGTTTTCGGATAGCTTCAGGTGATGGTGCTGCAATTGTTATTTGGGGGAGAGGGGGTGGGGTGCATCTGCATCTGCGTCTGTATACACATCTATATAGCTTTGGTTCGGAGTTTAGGCCGGGAAAGTCTATGGGGTTGCTCATGAAAGGAGATTCGCATGCCCGTGGGAAGGTGGCTTGAGTCAAGTGGGGCTAGCATGCGCTGGCACTGCTCGGCCCACCCTCTGAACCCTAAAAGCCCCGGCGTTCGGAAGCACAGGCTGTAGTGCTGCGGTTCCAGATGCCTGGTTCTTGTGGCTTTCGTCTTATAGTGCATAGTCGGAGTAGAGCAAAATTCGTCAACGCTTAAGCTACCAGGGTTCGGAATCTACGTGGCCTTTCATGGCGTTCAGGTGCGGCTCAAGTCAAGTGCCTTGGTGCCCGTCAATGCAACAGTGCATCATGGCAATCCTTGCTGTGCTGATCCTTGGAGTTGCCGCCACAAGTGCTTCAGGGCTTACTGGAAGCAACCGCAGTGTTTGCGTAAGCAAAAAGGGCCTGCTCTATGACGAAGCGGCTTGCGACAAACTCGGAAGAGACCGTGGGTGCGCGTGGGAGGCTGGACAGTGCATCTGCCGAGATGGCGGGCGCTACTCCAAGAAGGCGCGCCGCTGCGCGCCGCCTCAGACGCCGACGTCCACGGGGTCAACCAAGACGACTCTCCTGCAGGCTCCGCTGCAGGACTCGAATGGCAGCACGTGCGTCTCAAATCGTGGCCTCCCCTACGACGAGTACCATTGTGGCGAGGTGGCAAGGAGTAGGGGCTGCATCTGGAAGGACAACCGATGCGCATGCGAGAATGGGGGCGTCTACTCGAAATCGGGCCACAAGTGCTGGCCCCCCACCCCACCGGCAACGCAGGTTGCTCTCAGCACCACAACCGAGCCACCTCCATTGCAGGAGGACAACTCCAGCGTGTGCGTGTCTTACTTAGCCAATAGCTGAGGTTTTAACTGTTTGGGTTTCCTGATTTAGTAGGAATAATAAAGTTTAACCCTCCTTTCCCCTGGCTATTCGAGCAGTAAGGTGTCGAACCGTGGCTTGCCTTACGATCAGAGCCACTGCGACGAGGTAGCGAAGGGGCGCGGATGTGTCTGGAAGGATGGGCAGTGCGTTTGCCAAAACGGTGGCTACTATGCAGCTGGGTAGGCCTTTGGAATATTTCTATTTTCCTTTGTTTGGGCTTAAGAGGATCATATTCAAGAAGCCCTAAGCCCTAAGCCCTAAGCCCTAAACCCTAAACCCTAAACCCTAAACCCTAAACCCTAAACCCTAAACCCTAAACCCTAAACCCTAAACCCTAAACCCTAAAAAGCCTAAATCCTAAACTAGAGGGTTCAAGGGCCCAACCTAGGCAAAGACGAGCCGCAAGTGCTGGCCGCCAGAGACAACGCGGGCGGCTCCCACCACAACTCCTGCTCCAGCACCCTTACAGGAAGCTCGGTAGCTGAGTGAGTACACTTTAGGGTTTAGGGTTTTAGGGTTTAGGGTTGTAGGGTTTAGGGTTTAGGGTTTGGGGTTTAGGGTTTAGGGTTTAGGGATACTAAAATCCCCTCCATAGAACCGAAAGTGTACACCTTTTATGGGGCTTATGAACACAGCAACTAAGGAAGGCAATGACAGCGTCTGCGTGTCCAACCGGGGCCTCCCTTACACGGAGTACTACTGTGGCTCAGCTGCTGAGTTCGGTGACCTTGAACCCTCTTTCTCGGCTTAGGGTTTAGGGTTTAGGGTTTAGGGTTTAGGGTTTAGGGTTTAGGGTTTAGGCCCCTTAAAAAAAACGAAAGGTTAGCCTTTTTTGGTTGCCCTTTGCAATCCTAAACCCTATAACCCCTAAAGCTTAAATTCAGCCAATAAGGCGAGGAGGTAGCAAAGGGCAGAGGATGCATCTGGAAGAGCAACCAGTGCGTCTGCGAGAACGGCGGCTACTACGCCAAAACGAGTCGCACATGCTGGCCTCCGACCCCGCCAACGCATTCCCCAACTCCGCGACCCTCGCCACCCTCTCCGCCTCCGCCGGGAAGTGGCAGCGCCAACGCCCTCGAATTCATGGCCCCCCAGCCCATGTTGTGTTTTACGCCCTTTCTTGTTTTTTTGGGGTGGGGGGGGGTGGGTTAGTGTGCAAGGTCCTTATAGCGAAACTTATCCTAACCCTCACAGCCGAAGCCCCAATCCCCCACTCGAAGCATCCTCAACGATAAACCACTGATAAACCCATGAACCTTAAATCAGAAACCCTACGCCCTAAACCTTAAGACCCAAGAGCCCTGAAGCCTAAACCCCTAAACCCTAAAGCCTTTAAACCTCTAAACCTTAAAGCCCCAAACCCGAAAAAGCCCTTAAACTCCTAAAGCCCAAAACCCTGAACCTTAAGCCACAGAAGCTAAGGCCTTACACGGCCCCTGCAACCCCTCCCTGGCCCCTACTGCCAAAGGCTTATACCCCCCGGTTCCAATCCCCTGAACCACTGGGCTCATAGTTCCACGACAAACAAAACCTTGGCTTTCTTCTGGCTGGCTCTTAGGACTTTAACTTTTCGGTTTTGTAGAAACTACAGTATGGAGCCTGAAAGTTAAACTTTTAGGAGGGGTTCAGAAGTCAGCCAAGAAACCATGGGCTTCGGGTGTACGTAGGGCTTACACCTTTGAAGCGTTCGGCTCCTAAAGTCTAGGGCTTGGGGTGTTTAGGGCCTAGACACCCAAACCCAATCAAACTAAACCCTAAACCCTAAACCCTAAACCCTAAACCCTAAACCCTAAACCCTAAACCCTAAACCCTAAACCCTAAACCCTAAACCCTAAACCCTATGCACCCAGGTTTCCTGGTTGCCGGGACCCCACTGGCTCGCGGGCTTCATAGACGCTATACTGGGCGCGTGCTGCGTGTGCGCTTTGGTCCTGTTCGGGGGTTTCGGGTTTGAGCGGGCACGCGAGAAGCCAAAATGTCTCCAAATTTTCAGGGTTTAGGTTTTCAGGGTTTAGGGTTTAGGTTTTCAGGGTTTGGGGTTTAGGGTGTAAGGGTTTAGGGTTTAAGGTTTAGGTTTTCAGGGCTTAGGGCTTCAGGGGCGGAGGTGGATGTTGTCTTGACTTTGGGCTGCTTTTTGGGGGCCTCCGAAGCATGGGCTTCGGGTTTAGGGTTTAGGGTTTGGGGTTTAGGGTTTAGGGTTTAGGGCTTCGGGGGGTTGTTGCCCGTGTTTGGCACACGTGAAGTAGGCAGGGCTAAGACTCAAGACCCGAAGACCTTTATCCCCTTAAGCCGTAGACTTGACCCCAAAGTCTCAGATCCCCTAAACCCCTAGACCCTAGACCCTAGACCCTAAACCCTAAACCCTAAACCCTAAGCCCTAAACCCTAAACCCTAAAATCGAGTTCCCCAAGCCGAGGTGCTCTGCCGTGCACAAGGACAAACGCACGCCGCTTTATCCGAGGGAGGCAGATTGGGATGCTCCGGGACCGATCGCCGCAACAAATGCTGGTGAATCATGAAGGTGCGGGGCTTAGCAGATTTAAGGTTTAGGGCTTAGGGGTTATAGGGCCAGATGAGTTCCCTGTAGGGAAGAATCTCAGAGATACACCTAGGGGAGGCGCCTGTGATGCTTCTTCCTGTTTGTTTTAGGGGGAACATCCCAATAGATCCTAATGCCCTGAAGCCCTACAGCCCTGGAACCACGTCAGTCAGGGCAATTGTCGCAGTCGAGGTGGATGAAGTCATGGTTGGTTTTGTGTCAATATAACCCTAAACCCTAAACCCTAAACCCGAAACCCTAAACCCTAAATCCCAACCGATGTCAGCCTCTAACGGGGTCGGGCTACCTCATTTTCTGAAGGAGAGCCAGTAGGATCCGGGCACTGCTTGAACTTTGGCTTGGCTGTTGTGAGACTCTGTCCTACAGGTTACCTCTTAGAAGTGAGCCCGAAGTACAGACTCAATGGGCTTCTAGAGGAGCTCAAATTCGGATCACCTAAACTCAAAATCCTCAGCCTAAACCATAGGGTTTAGGGTTTGGGGTTTGGGGTTTAGGGTTTAGGGTTTAGGGCTTCCCTCAGGCCAGGAAGGCCATGTGGAGGTGGCCCAGCGCCACTTGCAGCTCGACCCACCGGAAGCCGTATGACGAGCAGCTCATGAATCGAAGCTGAGTAGCTGTCCCTAAGCGCTCTAACCCTTCTAAACCCCAAACCCTAAACCCGAAACCCCAAACCCGAAACCCTAAACCCCAAACCCTAAACCCTAAACCCCAAACCCTAAACCCGAAACCATAAGCCCGATCCCTGAGCTCGAAACCACCAAAGTGCCCGCTTTGTGTACATAGCCTTGGCCTTGCGCACTGCTGCTGACCGACCTGGCCAGAACCATCTTTTTTCGGGCTCTTTTGGGTATTCCCTCTCTATCCTAACCCTAGCTCCGAATCGTCATCTGAAGAGACACACCACCTGGGGTACTATAGGGGCCTTAATAATAATAATAATAATAATAATAAGAAGGGGGGGGGGGTTCCAGGATAACTACAAAGGGGCCATAAGGGAATACGATTCGTAATTATTCCGACCCCCTATTTTTTGTCATAGCTGGGTAACATTTTTTCATTTTTAAGGCTAAATTTTAAGGGTACTTAACCTCAATAAGGAATAGAAATTTAGATGTTTAATACTATCCCAACCATGAACTAGATAAGTGAATACCATTAGTATCTATTCCGGCCCCAAAACCCTAAATTGAAAAACCCTAAACCCTAAACCCTAAACACTAAAATCTCAAAGCCTAGTAGTAATTATTCCGACCCCAATAGTAGGCCAGCAGCACCCAGAATATGCACAGATCTGCGTGCCGACAGCTGATGTGATGCATGCCGAGTCCGACAAGAAAAGATTCCGCCGGAGCTGCCACTAAGCCCCGAAATTCCCGAACCCCTAAACCCTAAATTCTAAACCCTCAACCTTAATTTCTAAACCCTAAACCCTAAACCCTAAACCCTAAGCCCCGAAACTTGAAACCCTGAACCCCTGAACGCGTAAACGCGTGTCGCCTCCAGCTGAAGCCCAAGCCTGAACATCCTCCGTCACCCAGGGTGTACTTGGAGGTTCAGGGTACTTACAACCCCAATTCTAACTGTACTTATAAAGCTCCCTAAGTCCTCTAAGTAGGTTATAAGTAGACTTATAATTGGGGTTATAAGTACCCATGAACCTCCAAGTAGGTCCCGGAACCTCGCATCCCCCAAGCTGTCACCCTAAAACCCTAAAACCCTAAAGCCCTGAACCCTAAACCCCGAAACCTGAACCCTGAACCCTGAACCCTAAACCCTAAACCCTAAACCCTAAACCCTAAACCCTAAACCCTAAACCCCAACCCCTAAACCCTAAACCCTAAACCCTAAAATTCCCTCAAGCCACCTAAGTCGCCCTGGACCCCCGAAGCCGCTCAACCCCATGGAAGCCCTGAGAGCCGCAGGTACCGCAGGTGGTCTATGAGGAGCGTCCGGTCGAGGTGGAGCAGGTGCGAAGCGTGGGCGACGACCCTAAACCCTAAACCCTAAACCCTAAATCCTAAACCCTAAACCGTATTGGGGTTTAGGGCGGTTTTGGGGGGTCAAGGGTTTGCGGGGTGGAGGGTTTGAGTGTTCAGGGGTTTGGGTGTTTGGGGTTTGGGTTTTTTTCATGGGCCCTGAATCTGACCCCTTACCCTTCTTCAAAGGGTTCGGATGGGCCCTTAATTTCTAAATGTAGGGAATATAAGGCGTATATAGGGAACCTCCTTTTTAGTGCCCATACTAAGGGACCATGTAACTATGCTTAGAGGTTGGGCCCCCTAAACCCCAAACCCTAACCCCTAAACCCCTAAACCCCTAAACCCCTAAACCCCTAAACCCGTAAACCCCTAAACCCCTCAACCCCTCAACCCTAAACCCTAAACCCTAAACCCTAAACCCTAAACCCTAAACCCTAAACCCTAAACCCTAAACCCTAAACCCTAAACCCTAAGCCAAAAGCCAAAAGCCAAAAACCAAAAGCCCTAAACCCAAACCAAAAACAAAAAACCCCTACACCCTAAACGCCAGGGTTCGGGGTTGGGCTGTTTAGGGTGTGGGGTTTTTGGGGCCTCCAAGGTCGAGGGTTTGGGTGTCCAGGGTTTGAGGGTTGAGGGTTTAGGTTTAAGGCTTGGGGTTTAGGGTTTAAGGTTTGGGGTTTGGGGTGTGGGGGTTTGGGGTTTGGGGGTTTAGGGTTTAGGGTTTAGGCTTAGTTCAGCGGTTAGGGGTTTGGGGTTGAGGGTATGGGGCTTGAGCATTTAGGTTTATATAGGGTTTGTTTGGGCGTTTGTGTGTGGAGTCTAAGCTTGCGGGTTGCATGTAGTGCTTGCAGCTACTGTGCCCCGAGAAGAATTTGCAGGTTTTGCAGCTTGTGGTTTTATGTTTCAGGGCCTCTAAAACACTACGTAAACCCTAAACCCCAAACCCCAAACCCTAAACCCCAAACCCTAAACCCTAAACCCTAAACCCTAAACCCTAAACCAACCCGTCCTAGGGGTGAGGGATGAGTCGCCCATTGGCAGACACCATTCTCGGGAGCAGCCCCTATTTCATCCTGAGACCTAAACCCAAAACCTAAACCCGAAACTAGGATGCCCAGTAGTGCCCTTATTCCCTTTTTGGGGGGTTTAGGTTCCCTTATAATTATAACCCCCTTTAAGCAAAAAAGGGCACCCTTTTTAAGCCTTGGTTACTGGGCAGCCTAGAAACTAGAACATGTCATAGGTCATCTTCCGTCATGAGCACAAATGCCCCGTAGTCATGGTTAGGGAATCGGCCCTCACGTCCTTCTCACGAACCCTAAGCCCCTAAACCCCGTAAACTCCTAAACCCTTAAACTCCTAGAGCCATGGACCCTCAAAGGGATTCCGAAGCTCTGAGAGGCCCCGAGAACCTTAAGGGTATCCTGAGTTTCTTTTAAACATCCCAAGGAGGGATCAGCACACGTGCCGTTGCATCCCCCTGATCCCCTAAACCCCTGCACTCTGAACCCTTCAACGCAATCACCCGCTCCTGCGTTTCAGATTCACACGGTGGAGGCCATCACAGAGGCACGGGTCTGAGGGTAGTTACTGGGTAGTTACATGTCCCTGAAGGTGGTCCCTCACCTTCTTTTCTGACGTATGGGCCCTTGGGTTGACAAGGGTATATATGGGGTATATAAGGTGTGCCCTTTTAAGGGCCCTTACTAAGGGACCACATACCTACCCTGAGAGCTTAGAGGGCTCCAGACTTCTCAGTGAAGGCATTATCTTAGACTGGTGTTGGCGAGGAGATCTAGGATTGACTGGGTGTAGGGTTTCCGGAGTTCAGGGTTTCGGGTTTAGGGTTTAGTTTAGGGCTTCGGGGGGTTTGGGGCCCTAAACCCAACACCCAAAACCCGATACCCGAAACCCTAAGCCCTAAACCCTATGGGACACTGCATGGGCCCTCTAACCCCGCCTTGTCGTAGCCGGAGGCCGTAGAAGCAGCTTTGGTTTTCCTGTCTGCTGAAGATTATGAAGGAGTCTGGTTTACGGTTAAGGGTTAGGGTTTAGGGTTTAGGGTTTTGGGTTTTGGGTTTAGGGTTTAGGGTTTAGAGTTTTAGGGTTTATGGGCCAGTTGAATGGCTCGGGGAAGTTTGGGGCAGCTTCTGCCTGGAGTTAGGGCCTCGGGTTCAGACCTAGGCCATAGGGTTTAGGGTTTAGGGTTTAGGGCTTAGGGTGGTTTAGGGTTCTAGAGGCTGCTTTGAGATTCTTTAGGGCTTGGGGTGGTGTAGGGCTTAAGGATTTCGGGTTTGTTTTTAGGGCTGTTTAGGGTGTAAGGGCTTAGGGTGTTAGGGTTTCGGGTTTGGGGTTTAGGGCTCAGGGTGAATAGGCAAAGAGGCTCGAACCACCGGGCCCAGAAGCGTTCTGTTGTGTAGTCCCTTCTCCGAGTTGTGTAGTTCTCTTCTAAGGGTTTTGGGTTAGGGGTGTAGGGTTAGGGCTTAGGGTTAGGGTTTAGGCTTTAGGCTTTAGGCTTTAGGCTTGAGGCTTCAGGCTTTAGGCTTGAGGCTTCAGGCTTTAGGCTTTAGGCCTTAGGCTTTAGGCCTTAGGCTTTAGGCTTTAGGCTTTAGTTGAGTTTGGGGTTTCGAGGTCAAGGGTTTAGGGGTTGAAGATTCTAAAAGGCCGGTGCTCGCGTTGAGGGTTTCGGATTCGACGCCCTCTGTAGGGCCCCTTGGTCTTTTGTTGTCTTCTGTCAGACCCTAAACCCTAAACCCTAAACCCGAAACCCTAAACCCTAAACCCGAAACCCTAAACCCTAAACCCTAAACCCTGAACCTTAAACCCTAAACCCTAAACCCTGAACCCTAAACCCTTCAGCCTAAACCCTAAACCCTAAACCCTAAACCCTAAACCCTAAACCCTAAACCCTAAACCCTAAACCCTAAACCCTAAACCCTAAACCCTAAACCCTAAACCCTAAACCCTAAGTTAGGAGGGACTCAAGGGCCAACCCTAGCCAACAAATTACTCCAATGTGAGTGGCTCAGGCTTTGAAACATGAGCAGAGGGAGAGTTTCGGGTTTCGGGGTCAAATAGAAGAATTTGGAACCCTAAGCCCTGAACCACACTCTCGGCCCTCTAACCGCATGTGCCCCCCACACAGATGGAAGTTCTTAGTTGCTAGTCTTCGTGGCTGATGGACTGGAAATCCCAAGCCCGCAAAACCCCCCCCCCCCCTAAACCCATAAAGCCCGACAGCCTAAACCTTAAACACTCGTCCCAGATCCCGAAGCCTGTGGTGCAAACCATCGAGAAGCAAATACCCAAGGCCAGTCCGCGCGGGGGGGCCTTTATGGGGTTTAGGGTTCAGCCACAGCATGCCCCCCACCCCCCCTCCCCAATGCTTAGGGTTCAGGGTTTAGGGTTTAATTAGGGCTTAGGGTTTAGGATTTAGGCTTTAGCGTTTTGGGTTTAGGGTTTAGGCAGTAAACCACCCCGACCTTAACTACCCAGGAGGAGGGGGTTTGCGTTTTATGCTCATGTGGAATGTCTTGGGTTTGGGGTACTGTAGTTAAGGCTTGTGTTGAAAAAGATATGGCTTGTGTTGAATCAGAAAACCCATGAACGAAGCAGTGGCTCGATTTGGTCCAAGCCGCAGGTGCCGATGAGGGTTCACAGTTTAGGGCTTCGGGCAGTAGGGTTAAGGCTTTAGGGTTAGGGTGTAGGGTTTAGGGCTTATAGATCTTAGGGTCTACAGCGGAAACATGCAGCTGCTCTACCCCCTAAACCCGGGTTGTTGCAGGCACTTGTTGCTTCTCGCACCAAGGTGGGACGCAACTTTGCCGGTTGAAGCCGCCCATGCCTGTGCCATGCATGCTCAGAACATGTGACAAGCCAGTCCGGCAGTCCGAAATCCGAAGCCCGAAGCCCGAGCCCCAGAAGGCCCAGTAGGGTTTAGGGTTTGGGGTTAAGGGTTTAGGGTTAAGGGTTTGGGGTTAAGGGTTTAGGGTTTAGGGTCAAGGAACCCCACTTGCACTACTCGCGGGCTTCAGGGTATCGGGGCTCACAGACCAAGAATCAAGCAGAGCCCCGAGATCCTGACCCCAGCACAGAGGATTTGTTTTTTGGGCACCCTCAACCCTAATGCCTAAAGCCTAAACCCTCAACCCTCAACCCTAAACCCTAAACCCTAAACCCTAAACCCTAAAACCTAAACCCTAAACCCTAAACCCTAAACCCTAAACCCTAAACCCTAAACCCTAAACCCTAAACCCTAAACCCTAAGGGTGGCCAAAGAATCCTCCCCAAAGCACAAGTCCTGCGAGCCATGAAGCTGCGCCGGCACGCCAAGAGGTTTCACCACAGCCCGTGCCCGGCGCGGGTCGTGAAATGGTGCCTTGGACCTTTCTTTGGTTAGTTTAGGATGAGGGTTTAGGGTTTAGGGTTTAGGGTTTAGGGTTTAGGGTTTAGGGTTTAGGGTTTAGGGTTTGGGGTCTAGGGTTTTGTGTTTTGGGTTTTGGGCTCAGGGTTTAGGGTTTAGAATCTGTCGTAATATATGCCCTTTTGTCACCCTTCGTTCCGGGCTTCCTCATAAACCCCAAGAACCGAGTGCCCTTGCAGGTCCCCTACAGGGCCCCTTCCACTAACTGGGTTTAGGGCTTAGGGTTTTGAGTTAGGGTTCAGGGTTTAGGGTTTAGGGTTTAGGGTTTAGGGTTTAGGGTTTAGGGTTTAGGGTTTAGGGTTTAGGGTTTAGGGTTTAGGGTTTAGGGTTTAGGGTTTAGGGTTTAGGGTTTAGGGTGGGTTCAGGGTTCAGGGTTCAGGGTTCAGGGTTTAGGGTTTATGACTGTCCTAGACGATCCCTACCCTCCCTGAACAGCAGGTATGCCAAGCATGCCGTGAAGTTCAGACAGAAGGCTGCAGGGCAACATGCTGCCCACGTGGCAGCGTGGATTGCTTTCGGTCCCATCAGCCGCTTGCCTGGGGTTCATGTCTGCGCTTCAACACGCAGCGATTTGTTCAACCCTAACCCTTGCCATACCGATCCCTAAACCCTAAACCCTGAATCCTAAACCCAAAACCCTGAACCCTAAACCCTACACCCTAAACCCTAAACCCTAAACCCTAAACCCTAAGGACACCCTGGAACCTGTATATAAACCCCAAGACTCCTGAATCCCCAACACCTCATAAGCCCTGTAAGCTCTCAAGCCTAGGCTGCTTGAGGCAGAGAATAGACACTAAACCCCAAGCCCTAAGCCCTAAACCCTAAGCCCTAAACCCTAAACCCTAAACCTTAAGCCCTACGCCCTAAATCCTAAATCCTAAACCCTAAACCCTAAACCTAAACCCACCCGTGATTAGTAACCCCCCCCCCCCCATATATCAAGTTGTTGGCCCACAAGGTTTGCCCCACCCCCTGATAAGGACAGGGCTCGACCCCCTTGTAATCGGGTTGGTCTGACAAGGTCTAAGCCCGACCTTTTAGGGTTTAGGGTTTAGGGTTTAGGGTTTAGGGTTTAGGGTTTAGGCAAAACCATGAGTCAAAGACTAGTTTGAAGCGAAAAGGCTCGGGTCCGTACATTTGGGTGTCTAGAAGCGCGCCGCGCACGAATAGGGCGGTGAACGCAGACAAGACAAGATGACGGCGGAGGCCCCGCTATTTGGGGGGATTACTAATACGGGGTTTGTTGGGATCGGGGATGGGGTTTGCAATAAACGCAATGTTTATTTCGGGAAATGGTTTTCCTTTCAACTAATTGATTAATTAATTAATTGCTTAATTAATTAATTAATTAAATAGAATTTTTAATTTCTTAATTAGTCAATTAATCAGTTTTAGACCCTATCAGGTCGCCTCCCAAAGGTTCCCGAGATCGAGCTGCTGACAAAGCTGCTTCAGAAGCTGCGAAGCGGGGAGCTCCCACCCCGTCTTCAACAGGCACCCAGGGTTTGGGGGGGGTTTAGGGTTTAGGGTTTAGGGTTTAGGGTTTAGGGTTTGGGGTTTAGGGTTTAGGGTTTAAGGTTCAGGGTTGTTTAGGGGTTCAGGGTCTAGGGGCTTCGGGAGTAAGGCAGGTGAGGGAGTTGAGGGAGTTGAGGGAGGGGGGTTACACCAGGAGCTCAGGGGGTTAGGGAGTTCAGGGAGTTTGGCGAGTTGAGGGAGTTGGAGTTTAGGGCAAAAGCACCATGGACAAAACAGTCTACCCTAAACCCTAAACCCTAAAATTGGGGCTGTCCCTTCTGCGCTTCAAAATGCTTTGGCTTAGGGTTTTTTTTCGAGGGCTCTTCGGGATGTAAGGCCCTCGGCGGGCCGAGTTCGGAAGAGTAATTTGCATGCTGTGGTCCATGGGGTTTAGGGCTAGGGTTCAGGGTTCAGGGTTCAGGGTTCAGGGTTCAGGGTTTAGGGTTTAGGGTTTAGGGTTTAGGGTTTAGGGTTTAGGGTTTAGGGCTAGGGTTCAGGGTTTCGGGCTCGGGTGTAGGGTTTAGGGTCTAGGGATAAGGGTTAGGGTTTAGGGTTTAGGCTTTAGGCTTTGTGGTGCTTTGCTGTAACTTTAGATCCTTAGCCTTTTTGGGTTTATTGGGTTTCTTAAGAAGCCAGCTAAAAACTTAATTTTTAGCTACCCCCCTAAGTGCTGCCAAGTAGGCTTTAGATTTTAGGGGAGTCTTCTGAATGATCTCCGGACCTGCAGGTGTTGCCGAAGGTGCAGGCCGTGCTCCAAGTCATGCGCACGCCGAGCAAGCCCTGGCACCAGGCCACGACCCTAAACCCTAAACCCTAAACCCTAAACCCTAAACCCTAAACCCTAAACCCTAAACCCTAAACCCTAAACCCTAAACCCTAAACCCTAAACCCAAAACCCCAAAACCCTAAACCCTAAACCCTAAACCCTAAACCCTAAACCCGAAGCACCAGGCCACGGGCTGCTTGCGCAGGGAGCTGCACAAGCTCCGCTGCTGCCACACCCGGCTGGCCGGCGACCATGACGCTTCTGGGGCTCCTCTAAGGGTTTAGGGTTTAGGGTTTAGGGTTTAGAGTTTTCGGTTTAGGGCTTAGGGTCCGAAATAGTAGCTTCCAGGTGATGTCAGGAGCTCCTCTAGCCCCAGAGGCTGCGGATGTCGAGTCAGAGCGGACAGCAGAGGCAACGAGCTCTCCCAATGCCAAGAAGCGCCTGGAGCGGAAGGTGGGGGTAAGAATGCGAAGACAGGGGACCCCCTAAAATAGACCCCCAAAGTAGTAGAGTTCCCTTATCATAAGGACTCTCCAAGATGGTAGTATAGGGGTATGGTCCCTTGGTCATTCTACGATACTAGCCCCCAAAACCCTATTTCAATTATTCAGGCCCCTACATTGCCCAACCCTAAACCCTAAACCCTAAACCCTAAACCCTAAACCCTAAACCCTAAACCCTAAACCCTAAACCCTAAACCCTAAACCCTAAACCCTAAACCCTAAACCCTAAACCCTAAACCCTAAACCCCCAGGTGGAGGAATGGGCGGGCAAGAGGCCGGCAGCGCGCCTGGCATGCCTGCAGCAGGCCAAGAGGGTAGTTCAGCTCGAGGAGGACCTTTGGTAGCCCAGTGGCACCCTTTTCCCTTTTTGAGGTTTAGGGTTTAGGGTTTAGGGTTTAGGGTTTAGGGCTTAGGGCTTAGGGCTTAGGGCTCAAGGTTCTCTTAGAAAGTATCAAGCCCCCCAAAAAGAGGGTACCCTTATTATGAGATGGTTGCTGGGCTACCGAGGACCTAAACCAGAAGGACCTCGCCGAGGTTATGCTCACCTTAGCGGCCGCCCTGTCCCTAGGTGAAACAGGGTTTATTCTACTGTTATTGGTGAGTGTATATAAGGTTCCTTTCTACTATTGGTGAGTGTATATACTTGGTGTCCTTTTGGGGGTACAAGATACCCTACTTCAGGTCGGACCTTTCAAGGGACTCTTACTGCACCCGTTGGGTTTTGGGGACCCTTGTTAAAGATCCTCTAAAGGGAACATAAGGAGGCCATGTTTTTTGGGAGTGCCCTTTTTGGGTCTTAGGAGGGGATCCTATCTTAGGAGCACTCCTCAGAGGGCTTCGAAGATTCTGGGGCCCAACCGAGGTCCAACCCACAACGCCACGAAGTGCGAGCCGAAGCCCAAGTTGGCTCCGCGGCGGGCCGGGCCTCGCCGCAGGAGTTCCAGCGCCGTGTGCGGAGGCTGCTCCTGGCCACTGGGACCTTTTGGGGGCTTCCGGAATTACAGGGGTACCTTCTTGGGGATCCTTATTAGGGAATCCTACTACTTGGGACGCTATATGAGGGTCCCTTATTTTTGTAAATCCCCGCCTGAGCTGGGCCAAGTGTTTCCTTTACATACCGAAGTCACCTGACCTTTATGAAGGTATCCAGCGACAAACTAGGTAGGCACTTGCCCCAACTGCCACGCCCTTTATATACTTCTATGCCCTGACTTGGGATGTTCCCCCTTACACGAACAGTCTTTAATCGGGGTTTTTGTAGGGGGATTCCAGAGGGAGCATCTCAAGCCCAACCCTTTCAATGAATTAGTTCTACTTGGAGGTTCGTGGTACTGAATAACCAATTATACCTGCATTTATAGCCCTCTTATAAACCCCCGTACTTACCCTAACATGGTTATTATTGGGTTATAAGTTATAAGTGCAGTTACTATTTGGTTAGTAAGTACCATGAGTCTCCAATTACGACCTAAACCCTAAACCCTAAACCCTAAACCTTAAACCCCAAACCCTAAACCCTAAACCCTAAACCCTACGCCCTAAACCCTAAACCCCTCAACACTCACCCGGCTCCAGGTCGCACTGCGCTCCTGGCAGTCCAATGGCTACGACTGCGAGGAGATCCGGCGTCTTGGTAGCCCCATGGTACCCTTTTGCCCTTTTTTTCCGGGGTTCAAGGTTCCCTTATGAAGTAGCTGAACCCAAAAAGGGTACCCTTACAGCCCTAAACCCTAAACCCTAAACCCTAACCCTAAACCCTAAACCCAACCCTAAACCCTAAACCCTAAACCCTAAACCCGAAACCACCCTAAAAAGCAGGTGCCCTTATTGCAAGATGGTTGCTGGGCTACCGAGGCACATCCTGACGCACCTTCAGCAGAAGACGCCTGGCTCACAGCCCTGGCCTTTCGCAGGTCTTGGCTGGTTGGGGCCCTACACCCTAAACCCTAGCCCTAAACCCTAGCCCTAAACCCTAAACCCATCCAAACCCTAAACCCCAAACGCTAGTACAAGGATCTCTGCCTTCGAGGCGGCTGTGGGTGATGTAAGCGCAGCAGCATCGGGGTCGGTCTGGCTGGCCATCAAGCACCTCGACTTGCGCTTCAAGGGAAACAATAAATCCTAAGCCCCAAATTACTAACCCTAAACCCTAAACCCTAAACCCTAAACCCTAAACCCTGAACCCTGGACCCTAAACCCTGAACCCTGAACCCCAAACCCTGAACCCTAAACTCTGAAACACCCTGAATCCAACATCTGCTGGGCCTGGCTTGGGGTCCGCGAAGGACGGTCTTGGGTGAGCTGCGCGCCGACCGCTCTTCTCTTCAGGGCTCCTTGGCGGCATTCTCGGTTGTATTTCCTGAAGCCCTACACCCTAAACCCTAAACCCTAAACCCCAAACCCCAAACCCTAAACCCTAAACCCCAAACCCTAAACCCAAAACCCGATATCCTAAACCCTAAGCCCGAAGCCCTTCTTCTAGTCCTACGATATATTGGATTATTGAGGTTTCCCCTTAATATACTCCTGATATCCAGAAAGCTTCCTTGCAAGCATCCCCCCTCCCCTGCCCCCCCCCCCCCCCCCCCCCCCCCCCCCTCCCAGTCACAGTGCACACATACTGTTTTTCGAGCCCTGAACCCTAAACCCTACACTTCATGGATCACGGCAGCATCGGGAACGCCTCCTAGTCTCTTATGCCAAGTTCAACCATCAAACTGTTCACTGGAAGCACCCGGGCGGTACGCCGTAAATTGGGGGTTTACAACAACACGGGATCCCCATGTAGATCCCCAAAGAGTAGGATTCCCCAATGAATGCGCGCGAAACAAGGTTTGGGGCTCGATGTTGACGCTGTTCCGGATCTTTTTGCGGGTCCTTAGCATAAAGCTGGCTTGAGGGAATGAGGTACCCTATATAATCCCTTAAAGAGTATATAGTACATCTAGGGCCCTAATTCCCTCATTCCCTACGCAGAACCATGGGAAAGGGAACCCCCCCGCCCTCTCACCCCCCTCCTCTTCTGTACTTCTCTCGCTCATCAGATCGGTTTGTGGCGACTGTATTGTACGAAGCTAGGGAGAGTGTTTCCATAATTTACCCAAGATGTGTCAGTCGAATCAACTAATTGCTGGGGGGGGGGGGGTTGCAGGTAGTGCTTACCCAGACCCGGGGAGGATCCGAAAAGTAGATCCCCCAAGTAGTACAGTAGTACCCTATATATATATACACACACACACACACACACACACTCTTGGGTCTTTCTTGGGAACCATAAGGGGATCGACCTTCTGGATCCTCCCAGAAGACTGGGTCTAACCCTAAACCCTAAACCCTAAACCCTAAACCCTAAACCCTAAACCCTAAACCCTAAACCCTACACCCTGAAAAACATCAAAAAACCCTAAATACACCCTAAACCTGTCAGGCTCCTCTCCGAAAAGTCGCGCCTGCGGGTGGGCGGGACCGCGAATGGCGGCTGGCACGAAGAAGCTGGCGCTGCAAGCTGCCATGACGGCACTTGGCGGCCGAGCCACTTTGAGGTGGGGTTTAGGGTTTAGGGTTTAGGGTTTAGGGTTTTTTGGGTTTTGGGGTTTTGGGGTTTTGGGGTTTTGGGGTTTTGGGGTTTTGGGGTTTTGGGGTTTTGGGGTTTTGGGGTTTTGGGGTTTTGGGGTTTTGGGGTTTTGGTGTTTTGGGATTTTGGGGTTTGGGGATTTGGGGATTAGGCTTTAGGGGGTTAGGGTTAGGGTTAGGGTTTGGGGATGGTGTCAGGTCCTTTAAGGGTTCTGTCCGGCGAGTTCCATCAAGCTACTGGCAGGCAGCTGGTGCGGTTCATCCGCCGGAATTCCGACAAGTTCCATGCCATCGACGTCGACAAGCTTCGGAAGAGCGGCCTTTCTGACTATTTCCAGCTCGTGGGAAGGAGCCTAACACCCTAAACCCTACACCCCAAACCCCAAACCCCAAACCCCAAACCAAACCCCAAACCCCCCCAAACCCCAAACCCTAAACCCTAAACCCTAAACCCTAAACCCTAAACCCTAAACCCTAAACCCTAAACCCTAAACCCTAAACCCTAAACCCTAAACCCTAAACCCTAAGCCCTAAACCCTAAACCCTAAACCCTAAACCCATAAATACCCTTCAAGGAGCCGCAGCGGCAGGGACATCTTTGGCTTGGCCCAGGAGCGCCCACGCGGAGTTCGCCTGCTGAAGTACGGCTTTGTTGCAGCTTCGACAAGAATTCAGCCTTCAGCTTTTTGGGTTTCCTAATTTAGGGTTTTGGGTTTAGGGTTTGGGTTTAGGGTTTAGGGTTTAGGGTTTAGGGTTTAGGGTTTAGGGTTTAGGGTTTAGGGTTTAGGGTTTAGGGTTTAGGGTTTAGGGTTTAGGGGTTAGGCTTTGGGGTTTAGGGTTCAGGGTTCAGGGTTCAGGGTTCGGGTTTCCGAAATTAGGGGGGTACTTCATTGGGTCCTTTATTATAAGGGAATCCGACTATTTGCGGACTCTATTAGGGGTCCCTTCTTGTCGGAAACCCCCTTGTGAGAAGTCTTCCTGTAGGCAGAATAGACTCTGCTTGTGCTGTCAGGCTAGGGCAGGCATGGTGCAGCACACATAAACAGGCGCGACATCAGGCGCCGACGATCTTGGCTCAGGCCAAGGGAGTCGTGCCAGCAGAACTCTTTTCTTAGAAAAGAGAAAGGCCATGAGCCTTCAGCCATGGATGCCATCAAGGAGTGGCTGACAAAGCATGGCTATTCGGATTTGCTGGATTGGGCTTCGCATGAAGGCCTGGAAACGGTGGATGATTTAGCCTTCTTCTTTACTGACACGCATTTGCCGACATCAGAGCCGCTCAAGGCTGCTTGGGTACAGGCAAGAGAGGGCAGATCAGATGGTTATGTCATTGCAAAAGACTTGCTGCAAGTCGGTCACATAGCGTGCGGCCCACGGATGCGCAAGCCTCATGTGCGTGCTAAAGCGACGCAAGGTATGCTCAAACCACTCACTGTAAAGGTTGATTTCATTCAGCGCCAGTTGCAAGTAAACCGAGCTATTCAGTTGTCAATGTCCTGGGCGCCAGCATTTGGTGTCAAAGCTGGGGTGGTCGATGAAGCCATGTTGCAGCGACGTGTCAAATCATTGTCTGCGCGTCTATTGGGATTTGAGCCGCGTACGGTGAAAGCTGCGCTAGCTGAGTGGCAACGATTGTGGAGCCATGTCCGCAGTCAAAATCCGTCCAGCGCAGCTCTTCAGTTCGGGGCTGGCGTCCCGGCAGTTCTTGTAGAAGATTACATCAACATCTCCTCCGAAGGAAAAGGGACATCTGTGCCGAAGGCATGCTACGATCGCTTGGCCTGGCTTGCCCGACACTTGCAAGCGCCTCTTGATATGGAAGCAGTTCCTGTGCCCCGCACTGTGCACCAGGCGGAGCTGCGCGATTCTGGGGAGCGAGGGCAGGCTGTGCCGCTGGAGCCTTTTATGGTGGGTTTCCTCTGCAGCCGTGCGCAAGAGGCCAGAACTCAGCAACTGGCATCAGCGTGCGTCTTGTCTGTGATGGTGGTCTTGGCGTTCATGCCGCTGCGATATCGACATGCTTTGCGCATGGTGCCGGTCAGTAGGGCTCCAAAGTGGGTCTGTTTCTGGGTTTTTCGTGGTAAAGGCAGAATCAATGGCATCAGGAAAGGATTCAGTTGGTTCGTGCCGAGATTGCCGGTGCTGGAAGAGTCATTGCGCTGCATCTGGGATGGATGGCACAGCACGCAAGCTTTGCCTTGCTACCAGGCAAGCCCGCCTGTTTTCATTTGCCACATTGATGGTCGCGCTGTGTCCCTGTCTCAGTTCAATGACATGGCGCAGCGACAGCTGGCAGATGTCGTGTGCGCGGATTCGCCGCCCGTGTCTTCGTACTCCTTCCGACGCTGCGCTCCCACAGCGCTAGATTGCCGCGGCGCCCCATGGCCTGAGCGCTTTGATGTGGGAGGGTGGCAGATGGACGAGGCGGCAATTCGCGATCGCAGGGCAACCAGAAATTCCATGCCTTTCCGCTATAGTGGCCAGCGCGAGGGGAACGAAGTGCAGAGCAAGGCGCTTCACGCTTTGACGTTCGCTGCTTCTTTGGAGGCGAACGTGTCGTCCTGGCAGGATTTTCGGGCTTGGTGGACACGTCAGCCAGCGGCCACGGTGCAGTCCTGGCAAGAGGAGGCAGCAACCTACGCGGACTTCTCTGCGAAGGCGGAGTTTGCAGCACGGGCCCCAGGTCACCTGAAACACATGGAAAACCGAAGGTATGTGCCTCGCCAGCCTTCTTTGCAGCCATCGCGACCATGTGGGAAGCGTGTCTTTGATCCTCAGAGTTGGGTGTCAGCGGGCCGACGCGGCGCTCTCATGCATCTGTGCCGCGCGGATGCTGTGGGCCCTGTATGCTCATGGCGTCAGAAGCTGAAGAACGGCGTCTTCAAAGGAAAAGCTTTGAGGTTTGACTCCTTGTCTGAGGCGGTCAGTGCAGATCGTCCTTTTTGTACAGCTTGCGTTTTCTTGTTGCCAGAGCATCTAAAGAGCCAGGTGGTTTCAGCGCAAGAAATCAAGAAGCGTACTGAAGCGCGTGCTTGTTACCCATCCATGTCTGCGTCGCGCAAAGAGCGCCAGCGGTGTTTTTAGCCTTGAAGTTGCCGCAGTCAGGACTCCTTTTTTTCTTGTAGCTTCGTAGTGGCCTTGTTCTTTGAGCAGCGCTCGCTCTCAGCCAGTAGCATGGCTCTGACAGTGGCAGACCTGCAACCCCCAGCACAGCCTGCGGATGACCCTTCCGAGCTCTTCAAGGAGCTGTGCCTCAAGTTCAATGTCAATGAAAAAGTCGGCGCCTTCTTAGTCAATGAGGGATGCCGTAGCCTTGAAGACTTTGCCAAGTTCGTCACGAATGACGATGAGGTTAGGGTCCATGTGATTGACAAAGTGCAGGATTTGTCGAACAAGGGCGTGCAAACGGCTAGAGTTCGCAAAGCCTGGGCGGCAGTAGTCGAAGCTGTCCAGAAAGCAGCTGACAAGAAGCGCAAAGGTCTCGAAACCCCTGAGCTGGAAGCTTTGTTGGGCACAGAAGAGCTTGAGTCTCTTCACGTTGCCTTTTGGGGGCGCTATCGGATGAGGTATCCGGCAGCTCGCACGCCGTCAGATTTGCTGGTGTCAAATCTCAATCGCCTTTTCAAAAGCAGACTCCTCACCATTCACAAAGTCCTCAAAGTCAAATCGTTGGCAGCACAGCTCAGCGGTGAAAAGAAGCGCACCAAGGTCACGGAGGGTGTGCACATTGTCCATGCTGAAACGGTAGAGGACCATGTCGAAGAAAATGTAGCCAATTTTTTGATCCAGCTGGAGATGCTGATGGTGGCTTTCGCTAAAGCAGGCACGTTTGCGCCGCCTGATGTCCCGACTTCTCCTGAAGATGTGCATTCTGACCCATGCAGCTATGTTTTTTGCCCGCTGGATGTTTGCATGGCGCATTTTCATAGGGTGCAGAAGTATGTCATGTCAATGCCCGTGAGCCGCTTGCCGGAAATCGTGACCAAAGAAGAGGAGGACAGGGCTCTCTGGTGTGAGCGGTTTCGGGGCAGCAAGCGCACGATCGGCGCCGTCATTCGAGAAGTCTACACTGAGAGGCAAGCAGTGTGGAGTTTGCCAAGCTCAGCTGACGTGCCACCTCCGCCTGCTGCGGAGCTTGAAAGCACCAGGAAGTCCAAGACTGTTTACTATGCTACTGCGCTGAAGGATGGCAAAGCCATCTGCCAGGATTGGAACCGTGGCCAGTGTGTCAAGTCGGGCCCTTGCCCCAAGAAGCAGCTGCACGTGTGCAATGTGCAGGTAGGTTCCCGGCAAGCGCGAGTCTGTGGCATGAGCAACCACCGTGGCATCAACTGCAAGCAGGCGGAAAGGGCCCGCAAGGCCTGATGGTGCCCAGGCGAGGGCGGGCCAGAGACTTCGCTTGGGGCCAGTCTGCAGTCTGGCAGTTGTGCCGCCGCGTTGCCACCAGCAGTCCAGCTGGAGTTTTGCCAGGAAGCCATTGTCAGTGGTTTCCGCTTCATGTTTCCGAGAGAAGCGCTGCATGGCTTTGCATTGCCCATGCTGCAAGATTTGTTCAACCATCCGTTTTTCACGTTGTTTCACCAATGGACTGCCGATCATCGAGTGGATGTCAACACAAGTCACCTAACAGCAACTGCCAAGGTTCAGCCAAGCTTGGGATTGCAGACAACAGTCCTGGCCCAAAAAGGTGCGTTGCCCAGCAAAGTTCTTCCTCACCAAAGCAAGGAAGCCCTATTCCGAGCATGCTGTAAAGCATCCCATGAGGAGAGGTTGCCGTTTGATGATTTGGCATGCTCTGCAGATTTTTCTTTTGCGGCGTGGTGTGCCATTCATTGCTTGCCGGTTTTGCGAGACCACCGCAAGTTAGGCCGCGACCTGCTGCAGGAATTGTCGCGCCGCTGCCAGCCCCTATCCCGCCATTTGCGAAAATTTTTGCATCCGTCAATCAACAGTGTGGCAGGGCACATCCATGTTGGGCTTATTGCTGCCTTGATAATCCTCATGAAGTGGCCGGACAGGACTCTGCCTCTGGGATTTTTGCAAGGCTTTGCGTTGATTGGTCAGCTTGAGACGGTCAGCATCTGGACAGCAGTTGATGAGGTTCCCGACATCGATGAGGCCACCTTGTGTGGCACAGGCCCAGCCGTGTTGCAGCAGTACGGCCGGAGACATTTTGACCAGGATGAGCTGCAATTCCTTTGGGCCAGTTGCCAGAAGGAAGTGGCCAATGGCAAAGCGGGCGCGCCTGTAACCGTGGAGTCGCTGGATGTGGAATATGGCAAAGACTCTTGGTCTGTAGTGCCTGCCTTTGTGCATACTCAGCCGGACGGGAAGCGCAGACGCATCGATGATGCTAAAGCTGGCATGCAAAATCTTGCCACGGCTTTTTTCGGAACGTTTCAGTATGGTCTCTGCCATGATGCCTGCCGTGGCTGCTCGAGCGCTTGGAGCGTGGGCAGCGCGTGAAGGAGCAGTGACCATGTTGCAGAGCACCCGCCTTTTCACAGCTGCAGAAGATCTGCCGGAGGCGTACCGCATTTTGCCAGTTCATCCTCGGCATCTCAGACACAACAACGTGGCTGTGCAACATCCCCAAACAAAAGAGGTTCATGTCTTTCCATGTTGGGCCTTGTTGTTTGGATTTGCCGCCAGCGTTTTTCAGTTTGAGAGATTTTCCTTTTTCTTGGAGGCGGCTGGGAGGCGAGTCCTGCATCTCATGGTGAGCCTCTACGTGGACGACAGCCATTTAGATGATTTGGAGTGTGCAGGAGGGCATGGGCAAGCTCTGTGGAAAGAGTTGGCCACTGAGTGCGGCCAGTCCTTTAAAGAAGCCAAGGCTCAAGACCTCGCGCTGCAAAACGATTTTTTGGGTATTTCTCATGACACCAGCGCTGCCTTCAGTTCATGTACTGTCTCCTTTCATGCCAAGCAGAGCCTTGTGGACAAAGCTGTTGGGTTGATTCGCGCAAGGATGGCTGCAGGCCGCACGACCCCTGCGCAGGCCTCCAAGATTCGAGGCGTTTGCGGCTTCATTGCCCTCGCGCAGTGGGGGCGTGTTGGTCGTGCTCCATTTGGCCCCTTGCGCCGCAGGCAGTACAGTGACAAGCATCCGTGGGACAATTCGCGGGAGCTGTGCAGGGCGTATAATTTGCTCCTGATGCTTTTGGAGTTCCATGTGCCTAGAACAGTCAAAGTAACAGCCAGTGCGCTTGGTTTCCTGGTTGTGGCCTCGGATGCGCAAGCTGATTCAAACCCTTCGGGCGGTGTGCTGATTTACGACCCTGTGACAGGTCACAAAGTGGGGGGGCACTTGCAATTTCAGCAGCAACTTCTGGAAGCTTGGGGGTATTCTCCTGCAGCGTTGCGGGCTGGAGCAAATCCCATAGCTTTGTGTGAGTGCTGCATGTTGCCAATTACCCTCATGAATTTTCGGAATATCTTCGCAGGAAGAGACGTTTTATGGCTGTGCGACAACACGACTGCACTCTATTCCATTGTCAAGGGCACAGCTAGGGGTCCGCAGCTGGATTGCATCGTTGCGGTGTTTCATTTTCTCTTGTATTTCCTCAACGTCCGATGCTGGCTCGAGTGGGTGGGCAGTAACAGCAATTATTCGGATGGAATCAGCAGAGAATTGGACAAGGATCCTTTCAGCACAGCTCATGGCTTCGAGCTTCGGCCGATGTGGTGCCCGCAATCCTTGTGGTTCCAACCCTTGCGGGTGATGTGGAAACGTTGTCAGCAGTTTGAAGTTAGTCACGTCTGAGGAGCATGCGGCACCAGCCGAACCGTGTGGACAGTCGAGCATCGTTGGCAGAAAAGTGTGAATACATCGGAGCAGCGTTGGGTGAGTCACACTCCTGATGCTATCATGTCTGTGTTCTATTATCAGCTGCCAACTTTTGCCTTAATTCTGCCAATGCGATTCAGTACGGCTTTGTTGGCCGCAGAAAAACCAAATCTGCATGCAGTCGCCGATATGTTTATTTGATTCCCCGGCTATCAATGAAGTAAGGCCTTGATGGAGGTGAAGAGATTGAGTTGCAAGTGCATTGGCCCTTTGAGAGATTCTGCCGTGCAGGCTCACAAGGACTTCTTGGGCACTCTTTGAGGCATGTTTTCGCAGCCAGCCGTAACTACTCTGTGTGAATCAGACAGACTCCGACTCGGGATAGTATCCATGTTCCGAAGAGCGATCAGGACTACGGAAGGCTCTGCAAGTGGCGACGGCGCATGTCGAAAGATGAGCTGCTCCAGCGTGTGAGCGGGTGGCTTGACGCGCACGTCGTAAGTTGCAAACGGCATGCTCCGAACAAAGCTGGTGCCAAGAGAAACGTCCGGTGAATGTCATGGGACTAATTACCTTGGACCTCTAAGGTTGTACTTTCGGGTTTGGGGACCCTTTTTAAAGAATATCAGGGCCATATCAGGAGTATATGAAGGGTAGGGATTCCGTTATATGGCCATGAAGCGAGAGGGGGGGGGGGGTGTGGACGACATGGCCCGAGAGTGTGGACACTAGTCAGGATTCTCAGAAGCTGACGGGTTGTGTTTCCTAAGTATACCCTGGGCGCGCCATACCCTATCCCATGCGTGTTCAGAGGTCCCTAAACCGTAAGCCCTAAGCCCCAAACCCTAAACCCTAAATCCTGAACCCTAAACCCTAAACCCCAGAGCCTGAACCCCAGAGCGCGCCATGCGTGAGTTCAGCTCACGATCTCAGGTTTGGCATGCGCCCATCCACTCCAGATGGGGCCTAGTGGCAACTGCCTTCCAAGCCAAGTCCCTAAGCCCAACCCTAACCCTTAAGCCCAAGCCCTAAGTCCGTAAGTCCCTAAGCCTCCCTAAGAGCCCTAAGAGCCCTAAGAGCCCTAAGAGCCCTAAGAGCCCTAAGAGCCCTAAGAGCCCTAAGAGCCCTAAGAGCCCTAAGAGCCCTAAGAGCCCTAAGAGCCCTAAGAGCCCTAAGCCCTAAGCCACATGTCGCCTCTTTCAGAGACACTCCCACTATGTTGGGGGGGATGCCCAGGGTGGCGAGGGGGCGCTGGAGGGTTGGGGCTTAAGTCCGAGCCGAAACCCTGAACCCTAAACCCTAAACCTAAGTCCCAAACCCAAAACTCCCAACCCCTGATCCCTAAACCCTAAACCCTGAACCCTAAACCCTAAACCCTAAACCCTAAACCCTGAACCCTGAACCCTAAACCCTAAACCCTAAACCCTAAACCCTAAACCCTAAACCCTGAACCCTGAACCCTGAACCCTATACCCTAAATCCTAAACTAAGTGAGGGGTCGCTTCCGTCGAGCGACAGACCCCGAACGCTCGGCCGAGGGCCTTACAGCCCGAGCGCCCAAGCGAAAAGAGAAACGGAAAGGTGAGGGTTAAGCCTCACCGTCTGTCCTGGACAGGCCAACGGACATCGGCCTTTTTTACGACAACGTCAGTACTCGGCTAAGGGATGGCCGGCACCCAGACCACCTTTAGCGTAGCTAAAGTATAACCCCAAATCGTAACCCTTGAGGTCGGTTCAGGGTTTTGGGTTCAGGGTTTGTCGGGCCCCCCCCCGGGGGCCCCCTGGTCCCTGGTAGCTGGATTCCTGGACCAGGAGGCTGGCGAGGGGTCCAGGCAGGCTGGTTGCTCAATTTCGTGATTTTGGGGGCTTTTTCACATTTCCAACCCCGGGCCAAGGCCCCCGGGCCAAGGGCCCCCCGGGCCAAGGGCCCCCCGGGCCAAGGGCCCCCCGGGCCAAGGGCCCCCCAAGCCAAGGGCCCCCCGGGCCAAGGGCCCCCCGGGCCAAGGGCCCCCGGGCCAAGGGCCCTGGGGCCAAGCCCCCCCCGGCCAAGGGCCCCCCGGGCCAAGGGCCCCCCCGGGCCAAGGGCCCCCCGCGCCAAGGGCCCCCCGGGCCAAGGCCCCCCGGGCCAAGGGCCCCCCGGGCCAAGGCCCCCCCAGGCCAAGGGCCCCCCGCCTGGGGCGCCCTTGCCTTGGCGGGGACCCTTGGCCGGGAAGCCCTTGGTTTGCAGACCCTTGCCCTTGGCCGGGGGGCCCTTGGCCCGGGGGGCCCTTGGCCCTTGGCCCGGGGGCCCTTGGCCCTGGGGGCCCTTGGCCCGGGGGGCCCTTGGCCCGGGGGGCCTTTGGCCAAGGGCGCAGGCCAAGAACCCCCCAAGCCAAGGGAGCCAAGGACTCAAGGACCGGCCAAGACCGTCAAGAACCCCCAACAATACGCCCCCTTGGCCTAACACCCTGCCAAGGGCCCCCCCAACCAGGGCTCGGCTAAGGGCCTAGGAAGCCCCCAAGAGGCGCCAAGAGCCACCAAAAGCTTCAAAAGCTTCAAAAGGCCCACTAAAAGAAGGGGGACCACAAGATTTGTCCGTGCCCACAATGAGAATATTGAAAACATTGTTTTTAGCCCCTGCCCGCCTTTTAGTATTGAAATCGATGGCTCCCCCTAAATCAGCAAGGACCTCTACGGGCCCACGTGCCGAAGGCCCGAAAAGGACCGAAACTACCCCGAACCCCAGCCTAAACCCTGACACGCAAAACCCTACGACGGCCTTCAAGCAAATAAGGGCCTCTACGGGCCCTAACGTGCCGAAGGCCCGAAAAGGGCCGAGGCTACCCCGAACCCCAGCTTAAACCCTAACACCGCAAAACCCGAAGGCCTTCAAGCAAATAAGGGCCTCTACGGGCCCTAACTTGCCGAAGGCCCGAAAAGGGCCGAGGCTACCCCGAACCCGAGCTTAAACCCTAGCGATTGAAAGACTCATTGGCGAAAAACTCATTAATAGGTTCCCTGACCTTTAAATGAATAAAGCCTCTACGGCCCCTGACACGCCGAAGGTCCGAACAAGGCCCCGAGAGACCCCAAGAGCCACCAAAATACTTCAAAAGGCTTCAAAAGGCCCCCTAAAAGAAGGGGGACCCCAGGATGCCCGTACCCGCAATGAAAAATGCGATTTTTTGGTAGTGAAATCGATGCTTAATTGAGGCCCTTAAAGAAGGGGAATCCAAAAGCAGACACAAAGGGTTTCCCTGACCTTCAAATAAATAAGGGCCTCTACGGGCCCTGACACGCCGAAGGCCCGAAAAGGGCCGAGGCTACCCCCAACCCCAGCTTAAACCCTAACAGCGCAACTTTAAAAACATCAAAGCAAGCATCAGAGCACAAGAAAGTAAATTCCATAAACCCTAAACCCTAATAGAGTATAGTTTGGGTGGCCGGGGTGGGTTGACGGGCAACGCGAGCGCGCGGCCCGGGGTGTTTCACACCCGAGCGCGCGCCCTCCCCTGACACACCCTAAACCCTAAACCCTAAACCCTAAACCCAAACCGGCAGCCAACCCTGGGCCCTTTCAGCGTTCATAGGAGTTAGGAGTGTAGGGTCCAGGGTTCGGGGTTCAGGGGTCTAGGGTTTAGGGTTCGGGGTTCAGGTTTAGGGGGTTTAGGGTTTGGGGTGTTTAGGGCTTGGGGGGTTTAGGGCTTAGGGGGTTTGGGGTTTAGGTGGTTTACGGTTTAAGGGTTTCGGGGTCTAGGTTTGGGGTTTAGGAATGAGGGTTTTGCGGTTAAGGGACCCTTTAGAAAAACCCAAATCTAGATGTACATAGGGGTTCGTATACATGTCTACCAGAGAAGTCTTAAACCCTGAGCCCTGAACCCTAAACCCTAAACCCTAAACCCTAAATCCTAAACCCTAAACCCTAAACCCTAAAACCCTAAACCATCACTCAACCCTAAGTGGGTTTGGGAATGCTGCCCGTTTACCCCCCTCTCCTGAACGCATGGGACGGCTCCCCCAATCTTCCCACTACGCAAACCGTTTTAGGGTGTAGGTTTTAGTGTTTAGGGTTCAGGGTTTAGGGTTTGCAGGGTGTAGGGTGTCATCCCCAACCCTAATACCCTCAAACCCGAAAACCCTGAAACCCTAAGACCCTAACACCCAAAAGCCCGCAACCCTAAAACTCGCAAACCCGAAAGCCCTAAGACCATCTAAGACCCCAAGCCCCGGCCCCTCATCCCTTCCCCCTTTCGCTCTCAAAAGGACTCCCAATCCTGGACATTTCGTTTCGTTCCCTAAGCCCAATACCCAAAACCCCTAAACCCTGTCGAACCTATAGTCTCTACAAACCCAATAAGCCCTAAGCCCTAAAACCTAAACCCTAAACCCTAAGCCCTAAACCCTAAACCCTAAACTCTAAACTCTAAACCCTAAGCCCTTGTGGCTCTAAGCTATGCGGCTATACGATGGACTGCAGTGCCGACTCCCAACTAACAGTGAACCTCCCTTGTGATCCTTGCAACATTTATACGGGGTTTAGGGTTTAAGGTTAGGGTTTTGGTTTTAGTGTTTACGCAGGGTTTAGGGGTGGCTTAGGTCTGCTAGAGCCTACATGACATAGCCTTCCGCACCCCCAAAGCCGCAATCTCTTCCGTCGCATAACCCTAAAACCCAACCCTAAACCGAAACCCTAAACCCTACCCCTTTATTTCAGTAGGTATAATCCATCACACCGTAGGTAAAAGAGTCCCAGGTATAAACCCTAAACCGTACACCCGCCTAAACACGAAACCCGAAGACCCTAAACCCTAAACCCGCCTAAACCCCTCTGCGCCAGGTCGAGCTCCGGGCGCAAGAGCGAATTGTCGAGGCCGGGCGCCGGAGGAGGGTTTAGGGTTTAGGGTTTAGGGTCTAGGGTCTAGGGTCTAGGGTCTAGGGTCTCGGGTTTAGGGTTTAGGGTTTAGGGTTTAGTGTTTAGGGTTTAGGGTTTAGGGTTTAGGTTCCAACCCTCAACCCTCAGATTGAGTCGCAACACCCAGACGTGCAACCCACTCGCGTTTTGGCGACTCTTCCAGCCCTGCCTTAGATCCACCAAGAAGCTGTGAATCTGAAGCAGCAGGTCTTGTCTCCTGACCTCACTGACTTGGCACCCTAAGCCCTACACCCTCAAAACCCTCAAAACCCTCACAACCCTCTAAACCCTCTAAACCCTCTAAACCCTCTAAACCCTCTAAACCCTCTAAACCCTCTAAACCCTCTAAACCCTCAAACTGTAAAGACCCCATAAAGCCGTATCAGAAGCCATGAAGCTCATCAAGCCCAATAAACCTCCCAAAGCGTTT